CTGAGTCAGCACCTGAATAAACTCTTGAGTTCTTTTTACTTAGCCCCATTGAGAGTGGGAGATGAATTAAGCCCACACTTTTTGTGGCATCCTTAAGAAATTAGAACGCGCCCAGTAGCCCACTCTTAGCTAGAAGTATCTCTGGGTTTCAGATCTAACTGGAGCTTTTCCTGGTTCAGCAGCACATCACTTGCTCACTGAAACAGTAGTGTTACATACACAAACAAAAGATGGGTTTGCTACCAGCAAAGTCAAAGTTTCCATCTCCATTTTAGCTAATAGAAATACAAGAACTGATTCAGGCTTTAGATTCTTAAATCTCCTGAGCCTGGCAGCTGTGTTTCCCTCTTTCTCCTAAATAGTGCAGTTTATGTTTTAGGGAATTATGCAAAACATACGAGCAGCACCAGAGCTTAAATGAGGTAGGATACCCTGTGTTAGTACTGACGCCTGATGATGCACCTTCCCCCTTTCTGGGGGGTGGGGTAGGGGTGGGACAGAAGTGGACTGAAAAAAAGCTCCAGCTACAGGACCCTGAGCTAGGAGTTTCCAGGCTTCTTAGTTCCAGAATTTATTTTTTCTTCAAACAACTGAGAATTAAGAGCAAAAATATGTGTGTCACACACGCAGCGAGCATTGAGTAGTAGACATGTAATTGCAAAGCATGTTTATCTAGCAATTGCACTGCAAAACCAGCTTTAGCTCAGAGCCCAACCAGTCTTCCAAAATGCTGTACTGATGTGATGCATTTAAAACCTGCAAAGTTTGCAAAGAGGTGCCCACAGATTACCTTCCTTGAATTTGCATATTTGTGTACAGAACACAACCGTTTGTACGGGATCTTAGCCACTTTTATGCTAAAAAGATCTTCACGATTTGCTTGGTTTAAAATGCACATTCACAGTTCATTAAAAACATTTTCAAAAATAGTTTCATAAAGCTGGACATCAGCAGGGTTTGATGGAGGGTGGAAAATGGATCGTGTATCTTTAACCCGCAGAACTTAAAAGGCTTTTTTTTGGTTAGCTAACAATGGAAACTTTTTTTTTAAAAAGTGTTTCCCTCCCTTGGTCTTGCCAAGCAATAGAGAAAAAAAAAAAAAAAAAAAAAAAAAAAAAGAAAAACTTGTTCCGCTGAGTTCAACCCCAGACAGGCTCACAACTTCCTTCCTGCCTTTCTCCCTCCGCCCTCCTCCCCATCACCCAAGTTTTTTTTTTT